AAAATCAAGTAGATCTATAAACATATGAAAATCTTGAAAATGGACGGTGTGATAATATGTTGGAAAATGTACTATTTTTGAGACTTAAAATCTTTTATTTTTCATGGTCATACATCTCGGTGTCGAGATGATCAATCAAAGGGTTTTTCAACATTAAAACTACCTTTTCCGATGGATTTTTGAGGTGCATCCGGAGTTGTACATTATAAGGTTGCATCCTTATATAAACTTTTTCCTTCAAAATTATTTATATTTTGGGTTAAATAGAAGAAGGCTAGTGTGAATATTTATTGCCGGGTGGTTCTCTTTTACTGAGAAGTGGTTAGTATTTTTTCAATTATTATTTATCATGCATTGTCATGCTTGTGTGTATGCGTATGTGCACACGTACATGTGTGCGTGTTTTCTAGTTATATATCAAGTCGTTATAGGATTGAACTGATCATTGTTGCTTCTTTTGCAGAAGTTCAGGTGAAGATTATGGAGATTTTCACGAGACTGAATTTGTTACAGTTGTTTTGTTGTGATAGGTATGTTTGTTTTCAGGGTCTTTTGTATGCTATTAGTTGATGAGATGAACTACTTGTTTTCAAGTACTGTTTGCATCCCAATTTTGGTACCAAGTGTTGAAGCATGTGATGTTTTAGAAATGATGGTGTTTTAGCTGAATCTCATTACCAACAACGTTTCATCACTTTTTTTAACCACGAATGAAGATATTTTCGAAATATGGAAATGCAAACTCAAAACTATTTCAAACATGAGCCTATGAATTTCATTCCGGTCGTCTATGAGAGAGAGAGAGAGGCGTGTGTGTATATATATGTTCGAGGTAGAGAGGTGTGTGAGAGAGAGAGGTGAATAGAGAGAGAGCTCATTTAAATTGGGAAAAAGTTTATATAAAGCCAAGGTTCTAAATAATCAAATTAGAGCCCACCTCAAAAATTTCACTAAAAGAGGTTGTTTAGATGCTCAAATATCATCTCGACATCAAGATACATGAATAAGAGAAAAAATAAAAATAAATTTCAAGTTTTGGAATAGTGCATCTTGTAAAGCATTTTTGGATAGTCAAATTTCAAGATTTTCAAGTTTGATTTTCAAGTTTTTATAGATATGTTTGATCTATATTTTTTTTGAAGATTTAAATTTTATAATTAAAGATGAAAATATATTTAAAGCTGTCACAAAGATTTCTAGTATTGTAACCACATTTCTAGACACTATTTGAAGGTGCTCTTTATTTTGATTGTTTAGAGCCTTGGCCCTATATAAACCACACCTTTGAAATTGTAACTAAGAAAGTGGCTTCTCAAAAATGTGCTATTTCAGTTTATGTCGGTGTTTTAAACTCTGACGGTTCCGATCATGATCTTTGATTCATATTGAAATCTGTTGGAACTGAACCGGTTGTGGAATGATATTTGTTCGGGCCCAGTGATCTAGATGGGAATCTAAGCTTGATCTTCTTTTTATTGGAAAAAGTTTATATAGAGCTGAGGCTATAAACAATCAATTAGAGGTCACTTCAAAAATTTAACTAGAAGAGGTTGTTTTGATGTTTAAATCGATCATCTTGACATCAAGATGCATGAATATGAGAAAAAAAAATAGATTTCAAGTTTTTAAAATAGTGCATTTATTAATGTATTTTTGGATCGTCAAGTTGCAAGATTTTTAAGTTTTCATAGATCTGCTTGATCTACATTATTTTGAAGGTTTTAAATTTTATAATTAGAGATGAATATATATTTTAAGGCTATCACAAACATTTCTAATATTGAAACCAGATTTTTCAACATTATTTGAAGGTGTGTTCTACTTTGATTGTTTAAAGCCTCAGATCTATACAAACCGCACCTTTTTTTAGGTCACCTTAAATATCTACCCCACAAACCCGTTTTTCTATTTTTTATTTTATCTTATTTATTTATTAATTTTTATTGCATCATCATTTCGAACGGATCCAGATTTGACACATGGTGTCGACCTAACGGTCTTATATGGATTTATGGATGAATGATACATCCGGCCTATCTGGATTTTGAAACACTAGTATGTTTTAGGGTCATGATGAATTTCTCAACATGCGAGGGGAATTTAGGTGGTTCTTGATTTATTACCTACCGTATCTTAAAATGAGTGTCTTATCCTAAAGGCACACATAGGAAATTATTTGGATCATTGTAGTTTGAAGTGATTAAAAGTTTTTTTTTTATTATTTTTATTTTTATTTTTTTACTGGGGCTTGTTCCAAAAGACCTCTCTTGATAATAAGCGCAGTTTGGGGAGTTGCAAACCCAAAGGCCACGGTTGGTTTTCATGAAAAAATTTGTCAAGTTATTTTTGAACTCCCCATTTGATTAGTTATAAAAAAATTTTTCACACCAATTAGTCCATGGCAGAAAAGTTTACCATATAAATGGATCAATTAATGTGAAAAATTGCATATCTAATTACATGGAGGACTTCTTTCATATAAAAAAATGTTCATAAAATTTTTTTTTTTCAACATGCCCTAATATATATTGGAAACCCTGAACTACTTGTGAACCACTTCTACCACTTTTCCCATTTTTGGATTGATTGCATCCGCAATTTTGTGGTTTTGAGCCATTCTCTCATCTAATTTGTAATCTTGTGTTTTCTTATTTGGAAATTGAAATTTGAAACAAATGTGCGCAAACTTTCCACCGTATTTCTCCGGGGCTAGCTTTACTATGTTTGTCTAAACACACTCGCAAACAATGAAGCCCTTTTCAGGCTTAGTTGTTTGTTGGATAGTCCCTTCTTGAGATAGGATTAGGCCACTCTTTTGTGATTTCATGGACAAGGCATTTCCTTTTACCTTTTCCAGTAATTAGGTTTGGTTCATACGTGTTGTTTCCTAGTCTTAAAAAGATCAAGATCGAAAAGTTGATTGAATCGATAACAATATCACATATTAGTGTTAGTTTGATAACTACAACCGCTATTCACTTGTATGATATTGTTTTTGACTCACTCCCAACCATTCAATCTTGATTCTCTAGATATGTGAAATGCTACTTTGTCGTGAAAAAGTGTGATAAAATTATTTACCTTTGGTACAAGGATGCCCCATTCTCGTTTGGTCATTCGATGTGAATTTGGTAGCTGAGGGTGTGTTATTGATTAGGTTCAAAGCTTAGAAGAAAATTTTTTGAGCTTTGTGACATGCACGAACAGCCAAAGTTTCACAATGAACAACCAAGGAAGATTGCGGCCTTCTTGTATTTTCAAAAATGAAGAAAAGGTTTTCACCAAGCTAGTGTGCTGTATTTTGTTTGGAAAATACTATGTATTATTTCAAAATATTATCTCCTTTGTAACATAGTGTTTTGGAAAGACTTATGTGGGATATTCTTGTCACTGATATTTTAAGAACTGAAGGGAGAGAAGACCTATGTGGGATACTCGAAGCGTATTCACACGCGTGTGCGAGGGTGCTTGATGTCGCACTTCACATGCTCACATCCAAAGTTGGGGATATAAGCCACTTCGATATCTCCATCCTCTATATCTTACGTTATATGCTAGTAATCCGCTCTAATATGCCTCGACTTATGGTGAAATATAGGTTCTTTAGCCACACTAATAGCTGCTTGATTATTATACATGATTCTCACGTTATCACATCTTAAAGGCCCATAATTCAACAAATTCAAGAACTTTTTATCCGCATTGTCTCTGCCAAACAACAAGCTACATATTTAGCCTCTATGGTGGATAGGATGACTATTTTTACTTCTTAGTAATGGCGCCCCCACTATATATGAACAAATAGCCCGAGGTCGATTAAACTCATTTGGGTCTCCTTGGAAATCAAAATCTACGTAACCCAAGGGAGAATTCATAAACATCCCCATGAGTGAGAGCGTAGGCAATGGTGCCCTTAAGGTATCTCATTATCCTCTAAATGGCCTTCGGATGTTCCAATCCTAGGTCACTTTAAGATCTTCCTATTAAGCTTTAGGGAAAGGCTAGGTCAGACACATCAAGGAACCAACTGCGCCCCTAAAGGGTATCCTTTCTATTTCCTTTCTTCATTTTTAGGGGACAGTTAAAAACTTACATCTCTTTTCAATGGGTGTGCATAGAGGTTTACACTCACTCATCCCGAATCTATCTATCACCGTCTTGCAATAAGTAGCTTTAGAAATTTGTATGGTTCGAGCAGACCTATCCCTTATAATCTTGATACCCAATGCCAAAGAAGTTTCTCCCTAGTTTTTCATGCCAAAATTCTGATAATATTGTTTTGATCTCCATCACCAGTCTTTGAGAATTACTAATAATTAGAATGTCATCCATATAGAGTGTTCACTAAGTCACTCCCACTCACATTGACATATATGCAAAGGTTTTCTTGATTAGATTTAAGCCATGCTTTGTCAAGGTTTCATAGAATTTAAAGAACCACATTTTAGATATTTGCTTTAGGCTATAAAAGAATTTATAAAATCTATAAAATAAGTTCTCTTTAGCCTTAATTTCAAACCCCTCGGAATGTCTTATGTATATCTCCTCCTCCCAGTCATCATTTATAAGAAGCGGTCTAGACATCTATTTGATGGAGTTCTAGGTTTAGATAGGCTGCAATGGAGATGATGATTCTAATAGTTAAGATATCAAGGGACACAGCTCTTTACCTAATGTGCACTTGATCAGTCACAAAGGTATTTTCTCACTCTATAAATAGGAACTTGTTTCTTTCGGTTTGAGAATAAAGTTTTATTACTTTTTTTAAGTATTTTGTGGAACTTTCTCTCTTTAAAAGAAATACATTTGGTACTTTAGATTTTGTATTACTTGTGTATTTGTATCGACAATATAGTTTTTCAAAATCGCCTGCCTTCATGTATCTTGAAGATAATTTTGCATGATAAAACTTAAATGCACAATGATTCTTATCATTTAGGCACAAAAATCCTTCTTAAGAGAGTGATCCTTTATTTGAGGGGTGCCGTTTGTATAGAGCCTAGGCTCTAAACAATCAAATTAGAGCCTGCCTTCAAATAGTATCGAGAAATGTGGTTTCAATACTGAAAATATTTGTGATAGCTTTAAAATATATTTTTATCTTTATTTATAAAGTTTAAAGCTTCAAAAAATAGTGGAGATCGATAAATCTATAAAAATCTTGAAAATCGATGGTCCAAAAATACTTCATAAAATACACTATTTATGAAACTTGAAATCCATATTTTTTCTTGTGTCCATGCATCTTGATGTCAAAATGATTAATTTGATGATATTTTGGCATCAAAACAACCGCTTCTAGTGAAATTTTTGAGGTAATTGTTTAGAGCCTCGGCTCTATATAAACTTTTTCCTCATTTGAGAAAGTTTGAGTAATACATTATTTTTCTCCATTTCACCCTCTATTTCTAAATAGTGCAATCTATAGTATGAGGTCTCTAATTGAGGGCCATCTTGAAGACACGTGGTCAACTAGAAAATGTAGAGAGCATGGCCACGTCCACAAAAGTGTGAAAGCAAGAAAGTACATATTTGGACATAGAAGGATTCCATCCAAACACTGATAAAGAGAGAATTATTAATTCATATAAATATTATTGATAGCTTAAGTTGTTTGGCGTTATTGTCATTAGGATTGGGAGTTTCTCTAGGTCATTTCATTCAATGCCATTTCATGGGAAACTTGTCCTAGCTATTCAATTCATGATTGACCTTGGAATATAGAATTTTCAAAAACTTATGAATCTGGAATTTTCCTAGACATGCCCAGTACTTAATGTGCCTTTTTTACGTATTTTACCCACTATTTTTATTTATCGATAAATTACAAAAATCTTTTTAACATCAAAAAAATCACAGAAATCTCTTTTACGAGTCTCAAACAAATTTATATGACATATGAGCTTGAGCATACGAAATCTAATCCCCTAGAATTTTGCTTTTTTTCTCAATGGTAAATAGTTTATGAAAAATTTACGCAAACATCATTTCTACTTTTCGTTATTTAAAAAGAAAATTGTTATGTTAGGGGTACTCTTACAATGAGTTTGTTTTTTTTTTTTAAAAAAAAAAAAAGGGTATTCAACATTTTTGGACACTTGTATCATAACTTTTTGGGTTAGGGGTATTTTAAGTAATTAATAAGGATAAAATAAAAATTATTGATATAAAAAAAAACATTATTAATTATGTTGGAGGATGACATCATCCACATAAAATGTAATATCACTTAAACGGCGCAATGATTGCTTCTTAACCACTGGTAAAATGCGACTAGTTTCCTATAAAAATATTTAAGACCCGCTTTCTATGATGCCAAGCTTGCACATGTAGAAATATGAGTCTCTTAATAAATCTATTTGTTAAATAGATTTTAACATTTAATTTTAAGGACATGTATTATCTAACACGGAGATCCCGAATATGAAAAAATCAAGATGTGATGTTGATTAACTTACCTTTATTTCGGACCCTCCAATTTCATTTTATTTTCTTTTTTTGGTTAATTGCTGAAAGAATCAAGATGTGATGTTGGTTACTACACATGTATACTTTACCGTTACATTTCATGGAGGACTTCATAGGTATTCTACAAATGATTGGATGCGCATTTCCGGCAAGGTTTCCCAGGTGTTTCAGGGTTGGAGAGAATTGAAATCAATGGCGTAGAGACTAGAGAGAGAGAGAGTTGTTTAAAACTAGAGAGAGAGAGAGAGAGAGAGTAGTTAGTTAAACGTAGAGAGAGAGAGAGAGAGAGAGAGAGTAGTAGTAGGTAGGTAGGTAGGTAGGTAGGTACGTACGTACGTACGGTACGTACGTCGTACGTACGTACGTACGTACGTACGTACGTACGTAC